AGAGTAACTAAAGGTTGCAGATAGCAATACTCTTACTGAAAAATAACAATATTTCTAAGTTGAATCGCTAGCAGTGAAAAGTAAGTTAAAGCAAACAGAATATATAGCGCTGAACAATTAACTCATGTCTGTTTTTATGATTTCTCATTCATGATATTTATGCCAGTCATTGAATATTAGGGCATTCCAATATAAATGCATCTAAATCAAGAGCGTCACAGAGAGTTTTCTAGGTTGTCTCAGGACAGGACAATGCCTTCTTTGTGGTGAAAAGGAAAGGGCTTGTCCTTTTGCAGAGATTCACGCACATAGAACCGTTAGCACACACACAAACAAACATTCCCATGGATTCCCAGGATCGGAAAGGGCCTGAATAGGAATCTGGGCCATGCAGACACACAAGCAGCCCTTCACCCCACAACCACACATCACAAGAAGGGCATTCCTAACTCCGTGTGTCATTTAATTGTGTAAGACTGCCATCAAATGAAACATACAGGTTCATAAATTCAGCCAGCATTGATTGGATGACTGCTCATGTTCGTATGCCATCCAAAAACATTCTCCATTGATCTCTTCCTCCTCCACCCTTGTTCCCTTTAAGATCTTATGTTGTGATAACTTTCTTCCCTTTTTTCTAAGGACAGGATGTGGACTGGCAGAGTACACTATGGCCACAGTGTCTTCCCTGCCTGTGGTTCCTAAGGGAAAAGCCATTGTTCCCATTGTTGTCCTGTACCTGCCTGCCGTCTGCCTCTGAGCAGCATTTAAAACGCCTTCCATTTTGTTCTCAGAAAACCACAATCTGATGTCCGGCCTATCCCTTTCTTTTCTCTATGCACCTCTTGTGTAAATACATTTCTTTTGACAAGCGGAAGTTAGGGGGGGCATCATGCAAGTGCTTGTATCCGGGCCTCAGGAGAATCTAGAAGAGTGCTATGGAATTGACACCTTAGATCTAAACACTTTATGTTTTTGTCAAAGAAGGAAGTGAAAAAAAAGTGAATGAGGGATGAAAGGGAAGAAGGAAAGTGTGGGGAAATAACTTTTTGCACGCTTTTCAGCAGAGTAGATTTACCATGATAGGGTATGCTACTGATATGGGGCTCTTAGTTCTCCGACAGTTGCTTGGCTCATTGCCAAAGCAACAGACTCCACTGACTTATACACAAATGGAAATGTTTTTGATATTTAACTCCAGTTCACATTCTTTTTGTTTCTTCTCTTCCTGCAGATATGAAGTCCAATCCCAATTTATGTTCAAGTAATCGAACATGCATTGAGTGCAACATCAACAACTTTAGCACCTGTTCTGTAGCAACCCAAGCTTAGATATATACATTCTTTCTGAGTCTGAAACAGACTGGAGCAAACAGGTGAGGAAAGGAGAATAGGTATGGATTAGGGAGGGGGAAAACAGAGACAAAGGGAGGGCTGCCTAGTTAAGGCGGGGGGCTGCCATAGACGTCTGGAGCCAGGACATTGATGCTGGAGCTGATAGCTGCTCTAAAGAGAACATCTGCTGTCAGTGCACACATACACACAGGCAGTCACACGGCTCTCTCTTTTTTGTCCTCACTTCTCTTCTTTTAGTTTGTTTTTTCCTCCCAAATCATCCTCCCCCCACTCTATCTCATACAATTTCTCTAATTTCTGTCTCTAAGAGGCGATGTTTACATTGTGACCCCCGGTCACTCCTGATAAGAATCATTCCATCAACATAATGGCTAAATGACACGCACACGACTGTTACTGTCATTGCCACCACACAGAGGCAGGATGTTTTCCCCACCATCTGCATGCTTCTGCCTCTCATTCAATCTTTAAAATTATTAAAGATTCCTAATTCACAATTTCATGTGTGTTTTCCCCGGTTCACTTCCGATTCCATCTCGTCATTTTCCTTACTTTTTTGTTTTACCTCTTCTGATGAAAAACAAAAGAAGACATAACCCTTGCAGTGTGGGTGGTCCTGACACACATGCACACGCACAAGTGCTCACACACTCCTTGGTTTTACTCTGTCTGGTAATGCACTAGCTGTGGTTTCCGGGCCTCAGCCAAAACACTGTTAGAAGTTCACCGCACCCACCACTGTACCACAAAGCATCACCTAAACGCCGCTCAGCTCTAGTCCCAGACCCACTCTTTCCCTTGTTCACACACACACATACTCACTGATTACGGTGGCATGAACTACTTGAAGATGAGCCTCTGGAGAGCTTAGGAATTGTAACTTTGCAGAGCCTCTCAAAAGTGTTCGTACCTCTTAAAGTTTTGCCACATGTTCTCTCTCTAACCACATGCTTAAATTGATTTGGAGGGGATTATATCTCGTTGACCATGTTAAACAGCACGTAATTGTGAAACGGAAAAAAAAAAAACGAGTCATAGTTTTAAATAGTTACAAATAAAGATCCTAAAATGATGATATACATATGTTCTTTTCTTTTTTCTTACCTGATAAACCTAAAATAAAATCTTTGCAAATCACTGTAAATAAAGTGCACTGGTGTTTATTTAGTTGTTGGTGTAAATGTAACTGCTCTGTCCAGGTCTAAGACATTTTTAGAGGAAATAAATGAGCGAGGGCCAGTCAGGAAGGTCAGGTATAAATTCACAGGGAGTTTAAAAGCAACAATAGGTAATAAAAAGAATAAATAAATGAATAAATATATATATATATATATATATATATATATATATATATATATATATACACTTTCATATATAAAACATCTGAGATCTCTTATTTAACAGTATGATTGCACAGGTTATTGCACAGGGTATTAAATAGTGATTGCACATGTGAACATTTACCTGAAGTTTACTGACAGACAAGAAGTTAAGGCACTTATTGGAACGTGTCTGAACCTCTTCACAGACCTTTCTTAGTAGAAGATAGGTGTGGAGTTTAGATGTAGGCTGTAAAAGGCTAGACATGCCCCTTTCAATGCCAGCTACATTTCTGGAGGCTCTGGTTGAGTGAAATGTCTGCTTGGGAGTCTGGACCTTTTAAATAAGTAATCCCTAAAGGTTTTAGAAGCAATTTTCACCTGAAATAAATAAATAAAGTATTTCTTCCTATTAAAGTATGAATTAGATAAAGTATTTCTTCACAGTTATCTGTTCTAAATGCAAACATGTAGGCAAGGCCAGGGACTGGAAATAATGTATGCTCCAATACATATGGATATTACTTCCTTTGAAAGAATGCAACAAAGACTTGGTCATATCTTTGGAAAAATAAATGGCTCTAATTTCATATGATAGCAGATATGATGTTTTTTGAGTGAGAAGATGGGAGTAGTTTTCAACGTTTGTTTTGCTCAGCCATCTGTAAAAGACCTGTGTGCGCACACAAGGGTTTATGTTGCTCTAAAACCATAAATATTTGGAAAAAACTCCTTTGGTGACTTGTTTTGGAAACATTAAATTCTCCTCTAGTGAGCAGATTTTTTGGAGGAAAAAAAAGTTGTTTAGTGGTGGAATTTAAAGACCTGTCTAAGCTGGACCCACCAGTGGGTCATTCATGCACAACCTAGCACACAATGGAGCAGGCTCACAGACAATGAAACCAGTAATGTCTTGTATCTTGGCAAAAAATGCACTTATTATGTTGAAGGTGCCATTTGCTGATTGTCAATTGATGAGAAACTCTGACGCTTTCACAAAATAAAGCCAATATTTGACAGAAAGTTGTAAACTTGATTGAAGATATTGAGATATGTCCATAAGATTGTTTTAATTGGAAAACTAACCTTACACATTATTCTGAATGTATCATTCCCACTGTGAAAGATGGCAGTGGTAGCATCATGCTGCAAGAAGTCTTTAATTTAGTAGAGAGTTGGACTATTTTCCAGATTGGATTAAAGGACTGATGGAGCCAAAATCAAGACAATCCTGAGAGTAAGCATTTTAGAGGGTGCAGTACACTTGAGAATGAGGAGGGTACACCCTCTGGGAAACAACCAGACAGACCAGCAATAGCATTTTTTAAATCAATTTATATCCAAGTATGAGAATAGCAACAAGTCAGAATCCTTTGGTTGTAATATGAAATGATAGAAAAAGTTCAACGACTGCAAATACTTTTGCAAGCAATCTTAGCACAATATGTTACATAATAATCATTATCTAAAAACGTTTGTATGTACAGTTGTATCCTTGAGACAGCTGACTAATTCATTGAGTCCAATGTAGCATTTCAAACATCCAGGCCACCTATTAAATCACTGTAAGCCTGTCTCTTGGGACATGCTTCCTTCAGCTGTACATAAAACTATTCAATCTCTCAACTCCACTGTTCTTAGTGTTCTGCACAGCAGCACATATCTGCGCACACTCACATAGTCTCTAACCCTTGGGCACTATCTTTCTTTCCTAATCTGAAATCAAAGAGAGGGTCTTTCAAAGCGTCTCACATGACAGCTCATTTTATGCATTGCCCACAGAAACAATTATTGTCATAAATCTTTAGTAACTTTGCTCTGAGCTTTTCAAAGCAGCTTTTGCCTACCAGTGGTTAAATTCCTTTAGCAGAGCCCAACACTGTACTCCCTCCTGTGTTAGGATTCAGTTGTTTATGCTGATTCACATTTAATTATGTTTATACATGAATTCAGTAAGGCCTTCCAAGTTTGCAAATAAACTCTGGAAGATGTAGTGCCTCCTGCACTGCCTGATTCGCCCCTTTCCGTCATCATAGCATGAACATTTTGGCTCGCTTTGAAGAGCTCTCTGGTGACATGAGTGAATGATGTCATATACTTTCACAGATTTCTGTTAATGCAGTTTTTAAGGTTAACAGTTTCCAAGTAAATCCCCATGAAAATCTCCTTTCACTAGGTTCTGTACACTTCAGCAGATCCCGGTGGAGATTGGATCAGCTAACTTCTGTCGTAACCTTTTATACAATATGAGAAACTGCAGCCTTGCCATGGAGGCTGGGCTCTGTGTCCGTGCATGCATTCGAGAAGAGTCAGGCAGAAGGACGCTGTTTCTCTTTCATCATTTTTATCAAAACTTGAAAGAGAAATCTTAGATGTTTTTTCTTTTTTTTTTTTTTTTTGTCGGTAGCATCTTCATTGGCTGTGGCACCTTTATTGCCATCCGGCATTCCTTTCTTGTCTTCTCTGAAAGCAATGTGTGTGCAAGTGAGACTTGTGGGTGTGTGCATAGGCAAGAGATTATTTATCTTATTCTTAATCAGCCCTCAAACTGACTAATTGGTCAGTTCCAATGTTAGGTAACAAAGGGAAATCAACAATTAAGCCTGAGTTTGCAGGAATGACGAGTATTTTTCAGACACTGCTGTAGAGAAAGAGCCTTCTAAGTCTGTGTTTAACTGCCTTAAACTACAAAACTGCAAAAATATGTATGCAGGCATAACATTTATATAGTCATAAAAGGTATTTACATACAACATATGAACACAGATTGTCTGATACGATAGTAGTTTTTGTTTGAATAGTCAAACCATTACTTTTGCTATGTCATATGTAAAGATAAAGAAGAAAAATCTGCTTAATCCTTGATCCGGAGAAAGCATCCAAAGCATCCTGCACATGCAAGAAAGATATAGAAAACCTGTTTGAGGTGCAAGAAATATGGTTGAATATTTTCTCTGGGTTTGCCTGTCTGTATGCCCCTAAATAAATTTTAAAAATCCCCATCAGACGTACATGCATCAGACTAAACCTTTACCATTAAAAGTTATTTAGATTACCAAAACTATTTCCACATGCTATATTCTAGAATTGATAAGAGCTACGTGTTAAGTTTATATACTGAGTATTAATATTTTACAGCAACTATTTTTTTCAAGCTGTGTGATTGGGGTCAAACACTACAGTATGGGAATATTCACAGTTTGCTCTCTTATATCTTGACTGCTTTTTGTTAATTTTTTCCACTGATGTCACATAAGGAGGCGGCGAGTTTGATGTTTTTCCGTAAAATAACACATCAAACTCATAGAGAGCTAGAACCAAAACTCTACATGTGTTTCAACTTTGACTGTGAAATATGACTGCATATGACAGATGGAATCAGGCGTCATTTAAACAGGGCTATATCTTGTGTCACTGATAAGGTCATGTTTCACATAAACTGTCGTTCTTTCCTAATCCCAATCTGCTTCGCTTAAATCAATACCATATCACCTCTTGAGAACTATGAGTCAGGCTTTTACTTTTATCACTTCACTATCAGTTATCACAGGGTGTTGGTAATCTCTCATCTCGAGGCTTACACCGTGAAGACATTTGACAGATGTGCTTTTAAGCAACAGCAGGGTGGTGCAAAGAAGAGGTCAGTAAAATGTCTAAAGTGTCTCTTATTACCTCTTAAGTGTCTAGTACTTTCTTTTATATGCATTAAAAGTGTCTAGTACTTTCTTTTATATGCATTAACAGGATCTGATAAACTTTTGTGCATAAATCAGTTTCAAAAAGTGAATTTCAGTATTTTTCTATAAGTCAAGCAGCAAAATAATTTTATATAGTTACACCAAGAAGTAGTTGCAGGGGCGTGCTTTACTGAACTGATCATAAAAGACCAGCGTGAGAGAGTGAAAAAGTATATTTTGTACAAAATGCATATTCATGCAGCTCACCAAACTACACGAAGGTTTGAAGACTGTAATAAAAAAAGATAAAAACCAACAAGTGATATATTTGTACACACAGATTACAACTTTAAGAGTGTAGGATATAACAGCCTACATTAGATTCTAACAGTTTTTTTTCCAACTATTAATCTCTAAATTTTTTAGAAAATGTATTTTAAATAAATTAAATAAAAATAATAATTTTCCCTGGATCGAGAAAATGTGTGAGAAATGGAAATAGAAAAGAAAAAAAAAATAGATAACATTTTGGTGTAAAATAGCATTAAGAAAAAAACAGACACACAAACACTTCATAGTCTCCAGTTGGTCTTAAGAAACCTGACACTGAAAGTTATTTACCCATAGTGGACAGCATAACACACTCACATGAACACACGTCCTCTTTTCATTCATATTTAAGCTGGAGCTTCTCTATTGCCAGATTTTATCTAACATTAGGCTACAGTAGTGATTTGCTTTCACACACTTTACCATTGTTGTAAAAGAAGTATCACTAATTCATTCTCTAGAAACATTTTAAATAAAGCAATCTATAGTAAAATTAAGAGAGGCTAGATGCTTTTGATTATGTGCGCAGTACAACAGCTGGAAACACAAGCAAGTCATCTGAGAGCCAGTGAAACTCTAACAGAGTAAATTGGAAGCTTAAAGGCATTTCAGTGAAACTGGATCTTACAAGGCAGGCAACATTCTTTAATGTTATGATGTTACCTACAGGTATGTGGTGAAAGGGCTCAGGCCAGCCGGCACAGACGATAGTCCCATCTCCGAGCAGTCCACCATGATAAAGATGCCATCTTCCTCACACTGGCAAGGGGCTGGGCAGAAAGGTGCCTCTGATTCCCGTCTTTCCTGGACCTGTCCGTAGCCCCATGCTCCAGGAGAAGACCCCCAGCTTCCAACTGCAGCGCAGAAAAACAGTGCCCCAAGCAGCATGTCTGACTCTCCACCTGTCTGCATCTACACCTGCATAGGACTTCCGATCTGTTCTATGAACTGTCTTTCGAGGAAGCTGTGATGAACTGTTTCCTCTCAGATGTTCCTGTCTTCTTTTTTTTTTAACCTCTAATTCTCCCTCTGTGGGTTGTCCACACTGTAAATCTGTCCTGTCAGATGACCTGCTTCTTCATCTCTATTAATCTTCCTATTTCCCGGCTTCTGCTTTACTCCCCTAGAGTTCTGCTTTATATTAACTTCTCTTTTGTTCCAGTCTTCCTTCTTTTTCCATAAACAATATTTTTCTTCAAGTTGGTTTCTGTTTTTCTTTGTCCTTCTCTCTATCTCTGTGGACATATATATATTTATATATATCTGTTGCTCCGTGTCTCCCTCTCCTTACCTATTGTAAGAGAAGTAAATGAGCCAACCTCATTGGCCCACAATTTAGGGATGGGCTGGAGCATCTCCGGAAAGTGGGAGGAGTCCACAATTCTCAAACTTCCAACTCTTCCCTCTCTTTTTCCCCTCTCTTCCCTCTTCTAATTTTGCTCTGCGTTGAATTTTGGTTTTAGCCTAGAGGATAAGAAAGTTAATTTGCCGAAGGTTAAAGAGAGAGTCAGAGAGTAGATGATGGTAAAGACCGGTCCTGAGCTACAGAGGACTACAAGCAGACTTTCTTAGATTAAGGACTCAAACAGCTGAATGAACTTGTGAGAGTGTCCAACTGGCGGGGACAAGTGGTGGAGAAAACTGAAATTCTGACACTTCAGCACCCTTCAGTTCCCAGAAGGAGCCGAATCTAGTGTCTCGTAAGTCGCACCTTCTCATGTTTCCCCTCGCCGGAATGTCACATTCACACACACTCACACACATGCAAACACTCATGTGTATGTCCCCTCAGAGATAAAAAGCAGATTGTGACTGACAAATCCATTTCACATATGCTAACTCTACTTAACCATTAAATGAAATGTATCTGAGAAATTTAACATCATTTTCAGCTGTCATTGAAGATGTTCTTTAAATTTGCTCACTGCATTTAATACCAAAATGAAGCAATTTGCTAAGAGAGCAGCAGCTCAAATGGATCTAATCATTAAAAGTTATCACTTATTAGAAGAATATAAAATTATTCACAAGTGGCACAATAAAAATAGACACACAAAATAAAAATAGAGAAACTATAGAGCGACAGCAGCACAACAAACCAAACTTTTAAAATGGTTAAAAATGAGAAACAGAGGAGTCTGGCAGGATCTTGAGAGTAACAACAACCTCCTTCCTATCTTCAGTGAGTCTCTATCAAGGAGTAGGATCAGGTCCTGACTAAAACACAACTAAAATCCTATGAAACACATATTATAGTTTGATTGAATCAAAGTGTAATTTTTGAGCACAATCTGAAATCTGCTAAATTTGCCCAGGAATACATATCACAACTGAAACACAGTGGTGAAAGCATCGTGCACTGTGGTTACTCTTCTTTACATTTTGTTGTCATAGAATTATGAGCAGTTGTAAAACTGACCCCAAACACAAAGAACCGCTTCACAAAAAGAGAATGTTAGGGCAAATTTGTTACCAGTGTATGTAATGTGACAACCTTATCTTATATAATAAGGTCATTCTATAACTATAATCGTGCTAAGATTAGTTGTTTCTTTGAAATCAAGCCTATAAAATAAATACATAAAAATGTATAAAAGAATATTTGTAAAAGAGCAGCAAACAGGTTAATGTGCTGCAAACACAACATTTACACATAAATCCTACACCTTACTCTAAATAAGTGTGCATATGTTGTGCTATAGGATTTCAGAGCTGCTTGATTTTCAACACAAGGTTTTATGCATGCATATGTTACATACATTTATCACATCCACATAGTAATTATATAGTGAGAAAATACAGTTATTATATTCAAGCAGAATGATTTTTATTCTGTCCATTTAAATAGTTCAGTAGTTTTATCCAGCAGCTGGTTCTTATAAGTAGAAATAGTGCATTAAAGAAGTACTCCTGATCCCTTTTGTTCTGCTGATTTTTATAAGAAATGATGTCGTCTTTTATTAGCTATTATAGACCAACCAGTTGGGCTAATAAAATGCAGTGCAGTTCTTGGAAAGTCAAAGCCTGGGGTTGTTTAAACTGGGGGGGGCTTTCATGTTATAATATATCAAAAACCCACAAAAACACATATGTAAGGCTGAAAGCACAATGCAACATATCAGTTTATCACTTCTAAACTGTCCTTAAAAAGGCATCATTAGCAGTTTTTTGGTTTATAATTCAGTCAGAATATGTTACTGAAAGCATATAAGCACATAAAAAAAAGCAACCCAAATGTTTTCCATCCTTTTAGCTACGTCTGTCTTTCTCCTCAACTTATCCTCTTTCTCCACTATCCTCCAGCCTGAATAGTTTCTCATTAATTAATTAACATTCCTATGCCTCAGTGTTTTCTGAGGGGTCTTTGTTATGGCCCCACAAAAACTCTTTCAGAGCAGTTCTTCACAATGTCCCTCTCTCTTACTCTCACTCTCTCATGCTCTCTCTTATTCCCCTATTTTCTTTGTATTTGTAGTGGAAGGTTGGTCTATCAATCCATTGACAGGTTGAAAATGTTCAAAAATTTTTCTTTTTACAAATTCCTCCTTGTGTTTCCTCTGATCAAAGGCCCATCTTGCATGATCTTGGCCCACGCACAAGCAAACACAGTTTTCCCCACTGGCACTAATGGTTGTGTGCACAGACACAAAAAAATACGCACATGTTCTTTGTACACCTGCAACCTTCTCCCCTCTGCTTGGCTCTGTACCTCTTCCCTCTGGCACACCAAAACTCTGTCATCTTTTTTAAATGCTCTTTGATTGTCTGGCCTCAGGGGGCCCCTAAAACACACACGGTGCACTGTAAAAGAAAGCGGCATGTTTGGTCTCCTGCCTGTCTGCCTTTCTCTTTTTACTGGCTTCTCTTGTTTTCCTGTTTTCTTCCTTCCCTTTCAGTTTTACATAAGCGGAGCACCATGCATCCTTTCCCATATGTCAGGAATGTCCAAAGGGATTTGTTCATATTCAACGTGTTCTCACAAAGTTGATGACATGATAAGTGCTACCTGCACGCACATCAGTTCAGCTGCAGATTTGGCTAATATTAGATCATTAAAACAGAAAGGATTGTCAGTGAATAAGAAATCATGGAAAACGTTCCTCCTGAGAATTAAATATTTGGTCGTTTTATTAAATTATTTTACAATTATTTTTACATTGTCTTTACATAAGCTTAATGGTGTTGCCATGCTTTTCATCCACTGCAATAGTTGTATTTAAATCTTGCCCTTGAGGGGCAAAAAAAGACTTGTCTTCAAGTAAGTCTTCTGTTAATAATATATTTTTCATAAAATAAGAAATAAGGGTTGCATACTCTCCTGTGATTATTGACATTTTATCTTTTAACATTTGAACTCTAGCAATCCTTTGTTCAAAGCAGACTGATTAAATTGCATTTGATGAGGAACTGATCAGTTTGTCAATTAAAGCTAGAAATTCAAATACAACACACTGTAAACATCTCTCATTTAAAGATTACAGTCATGTACTATAAATTATGTTTCATGTTATAATGTTTTATATTACACTGTAGAAACATTATCATCTCTGTTCCAAGTGTCATTTTGTGGTAGGAGGATATTCAAATTTTGATTTTTGTGACTCTGAAAGAGAAAAACCTTATAAAAATTTTATGATAGTTATGAGGCTAAACTCCTCCCGACTATTCAGCTCTAACTCTGATTGATTGTTTGGTATCAGCCCAGATGCGCATGAAACCCCAGAATTAAGGTGAATTTTGAATAATCCGACTGCAAAATTTACAAAGGTGTACAAAGGTACAGTCACTTAAACTTGACACATTTTGTTTGCAAACCTATTCTTGAGTGTAGCTTATCCAAGTCAAAATTGGACCTATACTGACCCATTTCAATAACTGTTCTACAAGTCATTAACTGAAATTCACCAAAGATACGGAGGCTAAATGGTACAATTTACACTTGTATAACACCAGGATTATTCACTGCAAGAATTAATAATCCTAAATCAGAAAGAGAAATCGATATTTTGCAACAGAAAAGGTCTAATAAAAACATAAAATAACAAATGTGTTTAGTGAAATCATTGTTTTGTAAATAAGATTACTTGTATGTTTCTGTGGTTTACTTGAAAACAATAAAAAATATTTTGTCATGATAATTATTGTCATGATTTTGGCACTGATGTCTGGTCTGATCACCAATTTCACTCACCTGCTTATCTCTACCCAGTCCTCATTACCGCTGATCTGTTCCACCTGCTTTAGTCTCTATTTAACCAGCATTTAGACCAGTCATCAGTGCCAAATTATTTTCAAGCCGTTGGTGAGAAATTTTCTAGCATTCCTGTATTCTGATTGCCAGATCCTGAACAGTTCTGCCTCTGGACCTCCGAGCCTGCCTGTTCCCGTCTGATCTGTTTGCTTGACCTGTCTTCGGACTCCTGCTGGATCTCTTCCTTTCTGTGTACGGAACCTGGAACTGTTACCCGACTCCATTCTGGATTCTCCCTCATCACCTCTTTGGATCTTTGACATCCTGGCTCTGACAACTGAGCATGTCACCGACAACGGCTTTGCTTCGCCCTCTGGATTATCCTGCCTACCTTCATTTGCTCGGTTCTGGTCTCCTGTCTGTCCTCCTACCACCGATGTATCAGCATCTGAGATTCTCTTGAGAAATCTGTTTGTCCACCTCGAATATTGGATCCTGTCATTCAAAGCCTCACAAATTATCTAAAATTTATATAACATGAGAATGTTTTAATTTCTTTTTCTTGGCTCCACTTTTATTGGTATTCTCAATACTGCTACTGATACTCATACTCATACTGATACGCATTGTCTTCTGCTTATCAGGGACCGGCGAAAGTAGTCTGAGTAGAGACTCCCATACTTCCCGCTCCCCAGACACCTCCTCCAGCTCCTCTTGGAATAACGTATGGTGCTCCCAGGCGAGCTGAGAAATGTAGTCCCTCCAGCAAGTCTTGAGGTGTCCTCCAGTCCTCCTCCCAGTGGGATGTACCTTGAACACCTCCGGAGGGAGCTGTCCAGGGTGCATCTAGAACAGATGTGCAAGCCACCTCGGCTGACTCCTCTCTGTGTGGAGAAGAGGCTCTACTCCGAGTCTCAGCCGGGCAACCAAACTTCTCATCCTTTATTTAAGGGTGAACCCTTCTGAGAAGGCTAGTTTCTGCTACATGTATCTAGGATTTTGTTCTTTCAGTCATAATCCAGATTTCTGTAACCATAGGTGAGGGTAGGAACATAGTTCGATTGGTAAATTGGGAGCTTTGCTTTCTGCCTAAGGTTTCCCTTTAACACAACAGACTGGTACAGCATCCACATTAAAGTAGCAGCCATACCAATCTCTCTCTATATCTCCTTCTCCATCCTCCCCTCACTTGAGAACAGAAGTCAAGATACTTGTACTTGTTGAGCTTTCAGTGCCCCTGGAGTGGCAGACTGGGGTTGTGGTTCCTCTTCATATGAAAGGGGACAGGAGTGTGTGTTCTAACTGCAAAATTTCCTTTTGTATATACTCTTTGTATACATAATGACAATATAAGTTCTCCAAGTCTACAGGGGATCACACACCTTAGCCTCTAAAGGTAAGCCTGTGTGAGGATGAGCAATGTGGTATTAGTCATTGCAATAGAACACTGGTCAGTACTAGCAATGTAACTGTTTCCATAAGAGTGCCCTCTGGGGGGCACTCCAAGAGGAGGGGGTACAGGTATAAAGTTAGGGGTTAAACTAAGACATGATCAAGAATTTAACAATAGCCTCATCCTATAGCACCATAACTGTGGAGATAGCATAGGATAACCCGAGCCACTCTAACTAAAAGCTTTTTCAAAAAGAATGCTTTAAGCCGAATCTGTCTGCCTCATGAACTGAAACTGGAAGTTTGCTCCTTAGGAGATGAACCTGATAACTAAAATATCTGCCTCCCATTCTACTTATAGTCCTAGGAACCCCTGTAGACCTGTTAATTGAGAGCCAAGTCCTTTAGGAAAAGTGAGAAAATCAGATCTCTAAAATAATGTTTGTCAGAAGAATGTTTTATATTCTGGATTTAAAAGCAAAGGTAAGGAAAGGATACTAAAATAGGAGAAATATGATCTCCCTTTAATTATCTTCAGAATTCTGCCTGCAGCATTTTGGATCAGATGAAGGCTATTGACTACAACGTCTAGACTTCCTGATTGAAGAGTTAGAATAATCCAGTTTTGAAGAAACAAATGCATGGACTAGTTTCTCTGCATCACCACGGGATAGTTATTTCTAATTCTTGCAATATTGTGCGGATGCAAGAAGGAAATGGCAAGAAACCGGTTTAATATGGAATGTAAATTACAAATCCTGATCAAAAATAAAACTAAGGCTTTTTACTAAATCATCTTCATCCCAGTTTATAAAATAAACAAATACTGTACAACTGCAAAAGGGTTGTGGATAGTTTCCTTTTGAGGATGTTTTAAATCCCATCAAGTCTGTCTGAGAGAGGTGTTTTCCTTTTGTCCTTTTGTTCATAAAGTCCACATTGGTGATACTGTAACCCACATTCCTCAGGGGAATATGGTCTGACTGTACATGCTGGAGACTGTTTGGTGTCTTAAAGCCTTCGTTTCTGTAACAAAATGTCAAACCTTAATGTGTTGAATGTTACTGAATAGCTTTATTTAAGGTACAACAATCTAAGAAGTAAAGTCCTTGCATGTCAGGCTACTTTGATGCAAAGTTATGGGTGCGTGTTTTCTTTGAAAGAAACAATTGTAATAACACTGAAACAGTGATTTTTTCTCTTTATTAGTCTGCTGATAAGCATTTGGATCCTGATAGCTTCAGAAGCGCATCCATGGATGCACAAAAGTCAAATTAATTGTGCTTTTGCAATAAAAAAGTTAAAGTTAAAATTAAAATAGTTATTTGTAATAGATATACATGCACCAAAATCTAACCGTGGTAACATTTGTACCATTGCTGTAGCTTTTAGTCATGACTGCACACGCACACAACCACATACAAAGTGGAGAACATTTGTATCAAGGCACTCTTAATCTTCTCATTCTATCTCAGAACCTCTCTTTCTCACACTTTATCTCCTGCTTTCACACACTCCCAAACAATCTGCATCACATCAAAGTTAGAGCTCCCCCCCTCTAGTGTGCTGAGCTCCCCAGGCTGTAAACACTATCCAAGCAACAGAAGCCTTGAAGACACAAAGACAAATAGCTACCTGACACCTGACTCTAACTTGAGAGCACTTAGCGTGGTCTACCTGGGAATAAAAAAAAAAGAGAGAGAGAGAGGGCTACCTGAGCTTCTTTTGGGGGGATAACACAGTTGTTGTAACACAGATAACACAGAGTTGCTGCACAGTCAGCAAGTACCCCCGCACTAACCACGCATACTCACCCCATCCATTTGCAACTATGTTTGTTAATTTCCATCATCCACCAGTTCCTTAACAACTCTCAAAACAAGGATATAATAACATTACATAGGTGTGTATATTTTTGTACATTTGAGCTTTTGCTTATCAGCACATGTCTGCATTTATATTCATGCACACCTTGGATGCAAAGGCAACTTAACGCTAACTAAGGTATACTCAGCGGAAGCAACTGAGACGCCCGGGGTTGGTGTGGCGGCAACCTAGGTGTGTACTCTGTCTTTTCATGTGAAAGCACCTGAAAGCCAACAAAAGATCTCCCTCCATCCCCCTCCTCTCCGCTCTCTTTCTTTCTTCATCTCATGGTACAAAAGACAGGAATGAATGAAAGAACAGGGGAGGAAGGGGGATGAGGTAAGTGTATGAGGAAGAGAGGGTGGAGCAAGAGGGCTTCTCAAAGCTTTTACACCAAACATCACCTTAGAAATGGTTCATCATTTCTTGCTCCGCCATCATGACTGAGCTAAAGAAACGTCCAAAAAATTTTTTTCCTTGATACATTTATAAGAAAATACTTAAACACAACTATATTTTGCACATCTTTATTTTGCATTAAACAAATGATGGATGTGGATTTCTTTCAGTCATGCATTTCTTAAAACAGAAGACATAAACTGTTTGTCAGACACTCGTCTTTCATAAAGTTTTCTAGTTCAATTTTCCTATTTCAGTCATATAAGAAAGACTCATTCATTCTTAGAAGATATGCCTCATCACACATCAGATTATTTTTCTTACAAGGCAGAGTCAGGAGATTAAGGGGGGGAAACATTTGAAGGCAAAACAGCACAAAGCTTTGTGGCAAACCTTGTTATTACAATTTGGGGATAGAGAGCTGCCACAACTTGTTGACATCATTGTTGATGTAGACTATTGTAAACCATTAACACCACCATATGTTTTATGACTATAGCTTTAGAATGTTCAAACTTCCAACAAAAATTGCTTTGTAAAAAATAGTTGTGAACTGTTTGCTTTGTCTCCTGACTGCACACAGTGACAAAATTCTAAGATGCAAACACAATCAAGAGGAACGCCTGCCGAACATTGTATATTGACAATGAATATTTGGATTTTAAGGTTTTTATTAAAGGCAAAGTAAGTGACTAGACTAATTTACAAGGCAAAACTACCTAATAACATTTACAAAGGTATAAATGTTTCTAATTTACAATTTTTTAATAATCTTACAACTCACAAAAATTGAAAGATTTACTATGATTGAAATTCTGTGAATGACAGCAACTTTCTAGTTTAAACTCTAAATTAATTCAAAGAGTGAAAAATAGAAAACAAGTAATAAATGAAATGGTAATGTGTTGATACAAGTTTGAATAAAAGGATTAATAGAAAAAAAAATTTTATGATGGATGCCTGTTTTGACAAATTTTCTAGTTAATTGTCATTACATTTTATGTCTTTAGCACTACAGCTTTTTTAAAGCTTAGGAGCTTCATTTCTTTATTAATATTCAACCTGCTGATGAAAGTGAAAAGAAATATTTGTTGAGTCAATGAGTTTTATCCAATAATTTTTAAATTCAAAGGAACTAAATGTCTAAACTATGTAATTTTCATGTTAATATTCTAATCCATTTGTTTTTTGTACTAAAATAATTAAACTTTGGAAAATAATCAGATAAATTTGAAGTCCCCTAAAACTTATGGTAGAAAAAAAAGATAATTATCAAAACATATTTGTTCCAATAATAACGGGAGCGATAGTCTATCTTTCCCATGCATGATCACAAAGATATTAAATAACCAACAAATATCTTTGATATTACTTCACAATAAATTAGTATTTGCTTGGTCTCCCATAGCCAGATTATCCTTTAATGGGCAATAGCTAATCAGAACATTAGAGGGAGCTAGTTTGCCATTACTTTTGAGAAATCATGTAGAAAATTATAGTTTTATGATTAGCTACAAAAGAACAAGATAACGTGTTTAAACCTATTAGGATAACGTCCTCCTGGCTATGAAGAGATAAAGATTCATAACAAAAAAAAAATGAATTTAAACTCTCCTTTGCTAAGTCATTTCATCATTTTGAAAAGCTTTTGAACTCAAGAGGTGAAATAATTCCAATCTATCCCTCATACAGCACACAAAATGAAACATAGACATCTTTCATTGGATCTCCACTACTTTAATTCTCTGCAAACACAGCATAGGGGTTGGTGTGGTAAAAAAAAAAAAAAAAAAGCTTGCAGGCAGCAGACAAACGGGTCTGCACATGCACATCAGCAAATCAAGAGATGCTCCATAATGTTTGATGCAATTCTCACTGGAGCTACTGGCACTTTAATCAGCAGTGTGTTTTTTGAGTGAACTTGTGGACTTTTTAACTGTATACTTATTAAGGGAGGACAGATCCTCAAAAGAAGTTCAACTCTTTTTAAAAAAAATAAATAATTGATCATATCAGTGTGTGTTTTATTGTGTTTATATGTATAGCTTTGTACTGAACTATTTTTAGATATGTTGATACACTATATTGCCAAAAGTATTTGCTCACCCATCCAAATTATTGGAATCAGGTGTTCCAATCACTTCCATGGCCACAGGTGTATAAATTCAAGCACCTAGGCATGCAGACTGTTTTTACAAACATTTGTGAAAGAATGGGTCGCTCTCAGGAGCTCAGTGAATTCCAGCGTGGAACTGTGATAGGATGCCACCTGTGCAACAAATCCAGTCGTGAAATTTCCTCGCTCCTAAATATTCCACAGTCAACTGTCAGCTGTATTATAAGAAAATGGAAGTGTTTGGGAACGACAGCAACTCAGCCACGAAGTGGTAGGCCACGTAAACTGACGGAGCGGGGTCAGCGGATGCTGAAGCGCATAGTGCGAAGAGGTCGCCAACTTTCTGCAGAGTCAATCACTACAGACCTCCAAACTTCATGTGGCCTTCAGATTAGCTCAAGAACAGTGCGCAGAGAGCTTCATGGAATGGGTTTCCATGGTCGAGCAGCTGCATCCAAGCCATACATCACCAAGTGCAATGCAAAGCGTCGGATGCGGTGGTGTAAAGCACGCCGCCACTGGACTCTAGAGCAGTGGAGACGCGTTCTCTGGAGTGACGAATCGCGCTTCTCCATCTGGCAATCTGATGGACGGGTCTGGGTTTGGCGGTTGCCAGGAGAACGGTACTTGTCTGACTGCATTGTGCCAAGTGTAAAGTTTGGTGGAGGGGGGATTATGGTGTGGGGTTGTTTTTCAGGAGCTGGGCTTGGCCCCTTAGTTCCAGTGAAAGGAACTCTGAATGCTTCAGCATACCAAGACATTTTGGACAATTCCATGCTCCCAACTTTGTGGGAACAGTTTGGAGCTGGCCCCTTCCTCTTCCAACATGACTGTGCACCAGTGCACAAAGCAAGGTCCATAAAGACATGGATGACAGAGTCTGGTGTGGATGAACTTGACTGGCCTGCACAGAGTCCTGACCTCAACCCGATAGAACACCTTTGGGATGAATTAGAGCGGAGACTGAGAGCCAGGCCTTCTCGTCCAACATCAGTGTGCGACCTCACAAATGCGCTTCTGGAAGAATGGTCAAAAATTCCCATAAACACACTCCTAAACCTTGTGGACAGCCTTCCCAGAAGAGTTGAAGCTGTTCTAGCTGCAAAGGGTGGACCGACGTCATATTGAACCCTATGGATTAGGAACGGGATGTCACTTAAGCTCATATGTGAGTCAAGGCAGGTGAGCAAATACTTTTGGCAATATAGTGTATGTTTGAACCTGTCATCCTTAAGTTTTTGTGATATCATCAGCTTGGAGACTTGGAGCAGAGAAAGACAGAAGTGGAATGTTAAACTTGTTGGAAAGCATTGTTTCCACAGAATCTTCATGCAGGGCTTAGAACAGCCAGGTGACACATCACATCATGGAGAAAGGAAAAAAGGAGTTTGATTATTGTGGGTTTCACACCAGTATTTCAGCCACCTAAAAATTAAACACAGTTGCAACTTTAAAAGTATAGTTATTATAACCAGGGAGGCCTTAAACTTATCATTACAGCAGTCATGAATACAATCATCATATAAATCATCCAGATCTGTTGTGTGAATCCCTCTTAATCGAAGCTAGTGTGATTGTATTGGTAAAACACTGCCATCTTCTGGCAAATGTCCAAACTGCTGGACTTTTGAAAAGACGATACATCAAGTAGCTAATACTGACATTATAGAAGCATTGCAGAGGTAAAATTCATATTTTTATTACTTTGGTTATTAAGATATGACAGGGAATCATGAAAATAAATCATATTTGAAATAAGTTTGAATGTTCATGGGCATATTCAAAACTATGAACAATAAAAAAAACAGTATTGCAGGGGGAATAAATTACCCCAAAAATAATGTACCAGTTTAATAATGGAGAAGCTATTATATTTTTTTAATATATAAAAACTATGTATTTTCTGAGAATGTGTTTATTTAAGAGCAACTATTCAA